GTTGGAAAAGGATCAAGAAGAAGCAGATAAATACAAATGCTCTCATTTATTTTTCTATTGATAAATTATGCACTCTGTATTCTTAAATTGTACAATATTTTTACCTATCTTAATTTGTTCATTCGAGCCATGTCACAAAGTCACGGGCATATTTTAAAGAGCTTTTATGTTTGTGTTTAAAGGTGCATTATGTAAAAATGATGCAAAAGTGACATCCTGTGGTCAAATTTGGTCACTGCAACCACTTTAAGCAATTCTGGAGCTTTTTGCCGGCTGTGGTCAAATTAAAATTGTCGGCGCTGCGGTATTAGCTCGAAGGAGACATGGCAACCCCGCATTCACTGATGGTAAACATGTTACGTCCCTCCTTTCTTTGGTTTAAAGGAGAAAAATTGACAATCCCTGCAGCCAGCTGGATATGAAATACATTTCAGTATAACCTTCCTTCCAAAATGACTGAAACATTAGACTCTTTTGGGATTTTCTCTCTGTAAAATTCTCACTAATTTCTTACACACTGCACCTTTAAAGGCCAAGTTCATTGAGAAACCGTTGAGACTCATTTTTGAAATATGATCGGAGTTTACCATGCAGGTTAAATGTGAAAATAGTCTTCTACTCCTATTTCCTGAGTTAGCCGTTGATAGAAAATCGATGGGGAAACACTCAGAATAGAAAAACCTGTGACAATTTTTCATCATAACATTAATTTAACCTTCATCGACTCACCCAACTTGACTCACAACAGGGACGGCTGTAGGTGGTTTAGCATCCAGGAGAGAGAAGAGAACGTCTTGGCTAGTTGAAGCTAACTTAGCATTAACAACTCCACGACGTGACAAAGCTCCTTCAGTGTTATTTGTAGAGATAAAACATCAACATTGCAGAGCAAACAGAGTCAGTGGTAGAGTCGTGTTGCTGTTGGCCAGTCAGCGGCGAGATGTCCAAGTATTAGGAAATAATACTCCAAAACCTGCCCAACTCTGATCTACTTCCTGAAACAGGAGTGCCAGAGCTTTTTTCCCACAGTTTGACTCAAGGCATTCATTTTTACCAGAGAACATTGCAAATGTATTGAAAAAACAAGGTAACTTGGTTTTAAACTCTTCAAGCTTGCTGACAAAAATGCTTGAGAATGTTCCTCAAGAGTTAAACAGTACCTTCTGAAATTACATGGAGGCTTAGTTTACCTCTCATAAATACTTTAGAATTTTGGAACATGTTAGGATGTTTTTAATTTTTCCCTTCAAGTCAACTGTTATGCTTTCTTAATGTGTTTTCCACAGCGCGGTACATCAGCCATGTTTCTCCTCACTCAGCGTTTTCACCAGAACACACCGAGTGTGTGATGTCCGCTCCCCAGTAGCAAATTCTTCCACAGGTCCTTCCTTGGGTCATATTGGGCATGGGGGCAGCCACCCAGATCTTGTCAAAACTGATGAGCTGGTTGGCAATCTAGCAAGCCAGAATCATGTCAGCCAGACCCTAAGGGGGGGCGGCCCAGAGAGGCAGCCATAGCAGGATATTGCTCTGTGATCGTTCACCAGACAAATCATTAAACCACTGGCTGCATGCCGCTGAGCGGTTCAGCCTGTCGCTCCAACTTCCCCCCCCAGGCTATAGTTTGTTGTGAGCTTGTCTATGTTTTTAGCATCATCTCTTGTCTGGCAAATAAAATGAATTATTTTCATTATGCAGCATGTGTACTTTTCTTCCTTGCTTTTTTGGCTTTAATTCACCCGACTTTATGGGTGAAACTTTTCCATTAAAATAACCCTTCCTAAACAGAAATGAGCCTTTTTAACGGCATAATTTGATTTGTTTGGTTTACAAGCTAACCAGCCTTAAGGGGTTTTCCTCATTTTGCATTGGAACCACGAGATTCACACATGCAAAATGAAATTACACAGAACTCTCTGGAATGCAAACTCCTCGCTGGAGTTCTTTTAACATCAAGAATCAATTTAAAATTGGAAATTATGTCAGTAAATGGGAGGCTGAATGACCTGCTTTATTTTAGACATCTTTTTCAGAAAAGATGTTTACTTCGGATATTGGTGGTTATTTACTTGGATGCCTAGTTTGGGTTTAAGACCAATGTTCTGGCAGTTAGACAGATTTCACTCTTTTAAAATGCTGCAGCATTAAAGTTTGTTCCTCCTGGAGCTGTACGTTTATACAGGGAGCTGGCATGGAAGTGCCATATTTGTGTTCGAATCCAAAAGCAGTTTCCAGATTGTCACGTCTTCATACAGGGTCTTCAGTTAGTGACTTAGATTTGATTGTTAGGCATCTTTTTGCTTTGCAGTTCCTGCATCTGAAATGTGTGGAATATCTATAAATGAAGTAGGGCTGCACGATATTAGGAAAACCTGCGATATTCCATAACAGTGCTTAATATTGCGATATCGATATTACTCACGATAAATGAACAAATACTAAAGTATGCAGTGTTGATGTCGTCTGGCGTGTGATGTCTGCTCTGGGTTCAAAGCAAACAAAATCTAATGCATGAATTCCATGACAACATTTTTATTGCAAAAATATGCAGCTGCACCTGCTACTGTATTAGCAGCAAAACAACAAACTGCACGCATGCAGTTTCTCAGTGACTTTAAAACATCACCTCCACCATAAAACCTTTTCTGATGCTCCAAATACAGAAAAACATCCCTTACCAGGGTTTTTGAATAAATAAAAATATCTGACAATAAGTTTAAATGTTAAATAATAGTTAACATCACTTAAATGCAACAGCAAATTCTCTCATTGCTACTGAGCATTTTCTCCACTTACGTGGGTATGATATAAGGCTGTTGCTGTAATTGGGAAGTGAATGGTGCTGGGCCAAACTAGGAGAATATTAAGATTTTCTGAGGGAAAGAGAAAAACAATTGTCTACCTTTCAGAAGAGGAACTGGCAAAAAACTACATGGAAAATATGTGAAAACGTTTGTTTTAAACCCCAAATTGAACAAGTTTACCTAGATCTTAAAAAGCAGCTCAGATGATGAAACTGCAACTATGATTCTGATAGCAAGCTAACAAATTGAACTAAGACAACCGGCTAGCAGAGCTTCTGACTGACAGTTTATGTGCAGCAGCAAATCAACTATCCTGATTAACAAGGTTATAAAAGCTCATAAATGAAAAATCACTTTGATGTGTGGGGGAACTTTTCCAGGCCCTCTTTAGCAGGGTGGGACTGGGAGGTGAGTGCTGTAGCCTTTTAGCTGGAAGCTAACCGGAGCTTGGGGCTAACCTCACCACCCGGTAGAACACTAGCGACATGAAGGTGGGTTGGTTCACCGGCACATGTCGGAGTCAGCCCGGTTACTATCAGCTGCTTAACGACACCAAGCGGACTCACGTTCTCGTTTGAAAGCAGCACTGATTCCAGAAACCTCAGCACAAAGTGTGTTCGTTGCTCTGAGCCAGCATGACGAACAAGGGAACGGCGACGCTAACTCAGTTCGGGTTTTGCGTTCCACCCATCCTAAGGGTCTACGTAGGGGGCGGGCGTATTACGGAACAGACCCATCTGATTGGCCGCACATCAGAAGGGCTACATTTGATTGGTCAAATAATACTTCCGCGTAAAAAACAGAGCTGGTTTACAAAAAGTTGACGTATGACACGGATGGAAATGTTTGAACCAAACGTTTATCACCGTTTTTGACGTGCTTTGCAATGGGCCTATCGCACTTCCTGTTATCGCGTTGACGATAATTTTTCGATATATTGTGCAGCCCTAAAATGAAGGAACTCTTATTTGATACAAACACCTTTTTTGCTTTTGGCAACATAGTTTTTCTCCTAAAAGTTTTTCTCAGTACCTCCTTTTTGACCCAAAGTCAGACAAACCACAAGATAAAAGATGAGAAAACTGATGTCCACAACAATGCTGTTTACCTTTGGGATGTCACAGTCAGAGGAAATAAGGGAGGTGTTCTTTGATCCTGCAGCACCCTCATTGTTATAGTCCTGCATGAGTTAGAGGGTAGGGGGTTGGTCCAAGCTGCTCTGATGTTGAGGTGTGTTGTGTAACCCAGACATCTAGGGAGAGGGGGGAAATCCCCCACCTTCATTTGAAAGCCACAAACCACCTCGGCCGCACCCAGTCTTTGCACCCCCATCTCCCTCAGGCTGGAATAATATAAAGACTGTAACATCTGGCTCCATATCAGCAGCAGATAGACATGTGCAGGTGCTTTGTCTCTGGGCGTTTATGCTACTGACCATGCATAATGCACCAGTGGATTCCTGAGGTGTCTCAGCAAAACTGCCTCATAAATGGTTACAAACATATTGGAAGATAAACTCCTTTTTTGTTGTTCTTTGTTTAGCAAAGCTATAAAAAGACTTCTCCGCCTTGCAGGACCTGCTCTGATCATTTCATTGACCCAAAGCAGCAACTATGATACGGCCTTCTGTTAGTTGCGTCATAATAACGAAAACTCCTGGTAGTTTGTGAATATTACCCAGATCCTACACCCAAAGCCTCCGACGGATAATGCTGAGTGTGCAGCAGAGCTCGCTCATCTGTTGCTGCTGAAAGCTTGAAAAGGTTCCCAGCCTTGTGCTGCTGGGAGCAGGGAGCTGGAAGGGAATGGGGCCGGGGGAGATAACGGCCTACAGTACATTCTGTTGCTGTGGAGAGGATCCGTTTAACGCCGCTGACTAACTGTCTGTCTTTGTTCAGGTGCCTTTATTTTGTAGATGACTGATTAGAGTGGGGTGAAGTTGGAAAATAAAGAAATTCTGATAGGAACTTATCTATGCAATTTGATTTGTTAGCGTTTGCATTGAAGGAAAGTGTGTGTGTGTGTGTGCGAGCGTAATAAGGGCTGAGTGTGTTGCTTTTTTCTCCCTTTATAAGAGACAAGTATGTCCCCACAACAATGGCCACACTCCCACAGACGCTCAACACGCTAACCTCAGCCCCCTCCCCCCTCCTCTCACCCGGCACCCCAAATTATCCCTCCCCCTCCGCTGCATATGTGTGTGCATTGATGTTTTCCAGAGGCGCGATCCGTGCACCGTCGCTCTCCGCTGTTTGACTGCAGTGACACGGGGAAAATGCGGTGCACCTTGTTGTGTCAGACACTCTGATGGAGACTGAAATGAGTCTTGAAGGCGAGTAGCGCTTTCTCTCAACCTATGGAGGCATCTTAAGCTTTTTCTTTTCTCTGGTGCTTGGCATGATTTATAACGAGGAGGGATACCAAAGGAAGAGGTGACAGACACTGGATGATCATTTTTAATTTGTTTCATTTCAAAAATTGGGATCCTAGGTATAGCAGAGTGACGAATCCCATTTTGGAAAAGCCACTCCTAAAGCGTTCTTCCTTATGAAGCTGCATGATCTTCCCATCGATATCAGGGTAAGATTTGTGTTGACACATGACTGTTGGCACAGTTTTCTGTTACACCAGAGGGCACGTTTTTAAAGCTTGTGCTGTAGCCATGTGTGTGCTATTTTTATACGAATTTCATCTGAGGAGTAAATAATTCAGCGATGCGTCTAGCTGCAGGTTTTCATGGTGTGGGACTCTGCTGTACCTTTTGTGAAGAGTTAACCAGAGCTGAAGTAGCTGTTCTGATTGTTGCTGCTTTCAGGCTCTTTTTAAATGCATCCGTTCAGTTTTCTAGTGACTTGTTAGTCACCAGAAATAACCAGGTTTTAATCTTGATGATACACCAACACACTGTCACCACCTGTTGGAGAAGAGTTTAAGTAAAGACTGAGCTGAGACCAAAATATAAGAATTACACACATCAGCAAAGTAGCAATGGTTTGTGAATGAAGACATCTTAACACACTCTCAAAACGCTGTGAAAGCTTTGGGTGAAGGTGGAAAAATGCTAACATCAGTTAGTCAAACCTCTCAGGGCACCATCCTCCTAAGGCTGCTCTGTCCATGAAGGATAGTAGTCGGGATCATTTTGTGTCTATATTGGAATCAGGATTGCTGGTATCCAGACAGAGTTGACATTTTAAGAATTTTGCTGCTTCAGGAGCAGAAAACAGCTGCGACAGGAGGTCAGATGTCCAAGCAGAGGGTTCGGTGTGTGTAAAATGTGCTTTCTCAGGAGAGTCGATGTTTGAAAAATGAAATGCATGGTGTTGCTGGAAGCCACGCCTTAGAGCAGGGATCTCTGTCCTCTTGCACTCCTATTCAGCTTGTTTCCTGTTCTGCAGGTCATGAAGATGCCTGCTAATCACCCAGTGATTAAAATAAAGCGTGTGGAAGCAGGGACGCCTGTAAATTTAATGCATTGTTTCTCTGATCATTCAAATCCAAAAATAAAATTTAAATACACATTTTGTTAACTGCGCAGCCCGGCCTTCATTTATCTCAAGCAGATCTCCGTTTTTGTTGCACACATGAGGAAACCTCCTAGTCTTGACATTTATGTAACCCAGTTTAGCTGAACGTTTCTCACAGCAGTCACTGCTCCGCTTCATGCACCACATTTAGGTAAGCTGCTGACAGATGCATCCATTAGTTGTGAACAGAGACAAAAAGGTGGTTTATTGTCAGTTTTAAACGAGTTTGGGCCGTGTGAATATGTCCTTTAAAACTGGACACAAAGACATGAGTTTAGCAAGACGAGGAACGAAGCATTTCTCTCCTCAAGAAAGAGGCCTTGCAGAAGTGAGTTCAGAGAAGATGAGCAATAGATTTGACATAAAAACTGTTGACCGCAGTGTTAAAGGCAGTCTGTCTGTTATTGAGGCTTGCTTATTTAAATTGCCATGTAATATGTTTCTGCTTTTATGTGGCTCTAAATATGCACCATGCTTTATTAGTGCTGATTGATGAAACGTTCACACTCTGTGCAGAATGAGCTTTAGCTCCACTGTTACTGCAGTTTCACACATTCCCTGCTAGCTGGAGGATTCTTTGGTGCGCTCCGTTTATGCTAGCTGGCTGGTTGGTGGTCTGTCTGCGTAACTATGGTGATGGTGTCCCCCAGAAAGCAGGAGACCAAGCTTTGCTCAAAAGATTGGAAAAGAACTCAGGTCTGCAGAGCTAAATAGCCTGGATGATCACTTATTTTTCCTTTTGTCACAAAAATAACCAAAATTTTCTGTCAGAATTAGATTTGCTAGTAAACGTTTGAAATTCCTCCACCTGCTTAGACAAATGACAAAGAAATTCAACTCATGATAAAAATCAACGTTAATACATGAACTAATTATATGGATAGAATTTTGGGACAAAATACAATATAAATGGTTCATATCTTTAGTTTTTATTCACAAAGTTTAGTTATCTGTGGAATTTCTAAATCTTTGGCTCTTATGAATGAATTAATATAGACTGTTATTCTTGTTGTTGCTTAGGTAATCTTCTGTGTTTGGTAAGATCTTGTTTCCTATTTTCAGATGATGAATACCACTTTAATCTGAAATTAAATCTCCTGTTTTTAAAATCTCTTGCAGATTTGAGTCTCGACACCAGGACTGGACCTTTTGACTATTTCTATATCTGCGAAAAAACAAAGACTTAATGAATCAATATTCGCTTGCCGACAGTATGACTGACAGGTAAGTGGTTTATTTATCATTTATTCACTCGTTTGCACCCTCTGTACTGTGTGGACAGCATGTGAAGAAGGAAGAGGGTGCAGTCTGTGCTTGTACCTTTCTTCTGCTGTGCATGACCTCGTTTTCTGATGTTTGTGTGAGTGTGTTTGGGTGCAGAATAGGGCTGCACGATATTAGGAAAACCTGCGATATGCGATAACAGTGATTAATATTGCGATGACGATATTACTTGCGATAAATAAAAACTTAATTCAGGAACAAAAATAATCAAAAACAAAGAAATAAAAAAAAATGACAAAAAATCATAAAAATGAGAAAAGCAAAAGATGCGAGGAAAGGGAAAAAGAAAATAATCAAGAAAAGGCAATCAATGGATCCCGGTAAAAGCAGAATCAGCAGAAAGAGCAGAGCAAAGCTAACTCAGGTGTTTGCTAACCATCAAAATTAAGTGCTGTCTGCTTCGGGGGCGGGCATTTAACCTATGAGAAGTCACCTAATTGGCCAAATGGGTGAAGAGCTCCTTTTGATTTGTTAAAATAACAAAATGCTTCCGTTTGACAGAATGCATTATGTTTAGCAAACATTTGAGCTGACCATCCATTGCGATATTTATCTGTTCTTTGCGATATGCATATTGCGCATGCTGATATCGCGATAATGATGTATTTGCGATATATTGTGCAGCCCTAGTTCAGACGTGTTTGTAGGAGCAGGGGTCAAGATTGCGGAGCGCAGTGTGTTGTCGTGGGGTGGGTGATGGTATAAAGACGGTCTGTGTTGATGACCCTGAAGACATGACATTTGCATCAGGGCTGATTTGCATTCCTGTTATCTGAGCTGGGACGTTGGTGATGCATTTAGGTTGGTCTTTATTTCCTTGACAAAATGGTGCATTTTGAGCTTTTTGTTCCACTTTTTTGCTTCCTTTTACTTTTCTTTTAATTTTCTTTTTGTTTATCCTTGTTTTATTTAGTTTTTATTTTTTCATTGTAGCCAAAATCTCTTCTTTTGTCCCTTTTCTCTCCTTTGTCAACTTCCGTTTTGTATCGCAGCCCTTGTTTTCTGGCTTTAATGACACTTTGGGCAAAATGAAGTGATGCTAGCCTGCATGTTGAGTGGGGTAGGGGGTATAGACCAGCCAGCTGGAAGGGACACTTATCCTTAAAATCAAAAGTAGATTTTTTTTTCTCAAAGACGTAGACTATAGATATTCCCTCTGAAATATTTTTTAAAAAGGGTCAACATAAATTTAATTTCAACTCTGCTGAGTTTATTGAAATGAGGTAGGTTATTTCTAAGTAAGAGATGACATTGACAAGCTGTCTCGCGGGGTGAAAGGTATCCAAGCAACAAGAAGGTGCTGTTCAGCTTGGGGAGGGGTGATAGTATTGTGTGCTGGATGCAAGTTCATGTCGTCAGATGATTGTTTGTCTGGGAGGAATGATAAATGTTGTGTTGAAAGGAAGTGAAGGGAAGACTTAGAGGACGTCCCCCAACATTGTCAGAGGGTTAGGGTCCCTCTCGGTCCCTCTACATGGGACTACTCAGGATTCATACAAAGGCACAAGAAGACGGCTACTTATTTTCTCTTCAGCAAACACACACAAATGCCCTGTCCCTGTTTTCTGGCCTGGTCGTGAACAAACTTTTACACTTATCAGTGAGCATCCTGCAGATCTGAACATTCCACGTGTCAAAGATGCAAGCATGCATGTGAGCAGTCAAATGACAAGTTTTGCTCTGTTTTAATGTTGTCTTTGTTTTAAAAAGCCTTGCATGTTTATTTTCCATACATATGTCTGAAATAATGCATGAGGTCTTTCTGCAAGACTTCCACTAGGGCTGTCGCGGTTGAGGAATTCCCCCTGCGGTGATTCAGGGTGGCTTAATATTGCGGTGTGCGATATTATTGCAGCACTTCTTTTTTTTTGATTGCAGTACTATCTAAACATAATGTTTACACATTTAAAAAAGGTTTAAAATTGCCGTGCCTTCTTTAATAACACTTAACTGAATGCAGATCAAAGGGCAGTAACAACACATCGCAGTAACGTTTGTTTCTCCGACAGTCGGAGTCCGACTGAACTTAAAAACAACAAAATTCAGGAGAAGGTTAAACTTTTAAATGCAAATTTGGCTGCAGCATCTAACAAGTCCCCATGTCGTTTAGTTGTTTAAAATCAAGCATAAAAAATTACATGTACCGGGCGCGCGCGCGCCGGGGGGCGGGCGCACTATCATTTCACTTTCACACACACACGAATGACGGTGATTTATAGCTCGGTCACGTCCTTGTTACCCACAAGGAAAACCAGCATGTTAACCATATACGGTTTGAGAGAGGATCTGAGAGGGGTGGCAACATTTCCAGCAACACTGAAAACCCTCTCGGATGGTGCGCTCGTTGCACTAACGCACACGTACTTGCGTACGACTGGCGAGCAAAGGGACTCTCTCCCGGTTGTTGCTCCACCATGTCAGGGGGGTTTCTTTAGGGTGGATGCATTCCTCCTGCAGGTAGCGAGTGAGCTCCAGCTCGGCTCAAACTCTCTTCAGGACGGTTGCAGAAGCAGTGCTTGTCCGGGACTTCAGCAGGTCTCCGAGCGTTTATTATTATTTTTTTGCCGCTGGTGGCAGCTCTGTCTCGGCCAAGGACTCTGGCTGCGCAGCAGCTGACGTACTGAAAACCAAAGTGCTCCCAAAGGAGCGAAGTGACGTTTCGTTTTGATACCAGTGCAGCCATCCTTCTCAACATGCATCATTGAGTTGAACCAAGTTCAGTAATCGCGGTGGCCCATGATGCAGCGCGGTGGGTTTCTTCATATTGCGATATTTCATTTTTGCGGTTACCGCGACAGCCCTAACTTCCACTGCATTTTTGAAAACACATGTTTCAGAGGCTTGAAGTTTGGCCCCCTTTTGTGTCCGGGTGCGCTACGATGAGGAACGATTCTAAAGCCAGATTTGCTCCGTGGTGCTTGTAGACAGGGATTCTTTCTGTTTGAATTCAAGCCTGAATAATCCTGTTCAACACACCGCTTTGTGTGCTACCAGTGTCTGTCTGTCCTTCAGGCAGGATTTACAAGAAAACACAACTTTTTTCCCCAAATTTTTTTGCTTATAAATTGCACACAAGATTACAATGTTGCTACTGTACAAAACAAAGCCGTGCCTCAAACCCGCACAGAATTTGTATAAAAGCCTCTGGAGAATGTTTCACTACAAGAAAACAAATGCTCTCTAGAAAACTCTTTATGTTGGCAGTTGAAATTTTAGGTCTTCCCTCCTTTTTTTTATTTCTTTGGTTTTCTGTCTCCTAAAGTGTGTGTGTGTGTGTGTGTGTGTGTGTGTGTGTGTGTGTGTGTGTGTGCGCGCGTGCGCGCGCACGCGTGCTGGGCCTTTGCTGGAATAACAGACTGTTTTAGAGATATGACTACAGTTCCAGCTCTGTTTTATTATCTCTGTTGTTGTTGTCTGTATCAGTCAAGGTCCTGCAAGTGAGTTGGTCAGTTGTTGTTGGTTAGTTTAAAGCCATCTGTTCCATTTTTGAGGAAAATATAATCTTTTCTGCAAACTTTTTTTTTTCTGAAGACGTGTAACACTGAGGGCTGGAAGATGTAGAGGAAAGTATATTGATAAAAACAATTCATATTAATTGATATCAATAATTATAAAGACATGGAGAAAATATATTTTAAGAGCAGCCCTGGCAATTTAATGTCAGTACTTTATGATAAAACAAGTTGGATGTGTTACCAAACTTGATTTTTAACCGATTCTTTGCAAATTTTTCAATTGATCTTTGTCTTTTTTGTCAGACTTGTAAAAAAACCAAAATATCGCCATGCTGATGAACTACTATAATTGTTTTACTTTACAACTTCCTCCACCTCACCTTGCTGCAACATCTTTCAGTCTGTTTTGTTTTGCGAGGGTGGGGCTTGGTGATGGAGCATGCCTGGGTCTGTGTTTTTGATTGGTTGGGAGTAATTATGGACTCTAGAATATTAAGCTACCTGATATGCTATTATAGAGAAAAGAAAGGAAACATTCTATTGGAGTTTTTATTGAACCTTTTTTATTCACGCCATACATCAATGCAATCAAACAAAATTTACATTAAAACAGTTCATGTTCACAAATAATCATACATGAAAAGGAGCAGAAAGAAGCAAAAACTTATATCTGGCCCGTTTACACATCAGACATTAGCTGTTCAATTCAAAGACTGTCGTTCAAATATTCGAAGGATATACATCGGTATTGAATTATTGTCCAGCCCTAATAACACCTGTATTTTCCAAGCTAGCAAGACTTTTCAGGGTACTCTTGGCAAGTCTATGTGCATGCTTTTGTTGAGCTAAAACCAGATTACAGTACAGTTACACACTTTTACACTTAACTTTTCTCTGTAGCTGGTTTTAGAGGGCAGAATCAGACATTTACCTCGGCTCGCCCTCTCACTACAGTTAGATTTGTAGCTTTTAAGATCCATTAAACAGATTTACTGCTAAGTTAATTTTGAGGTTGTTTATTTAAACTTATTTTGGATTGTTTCTCGGAACTGTACTTGTAGAATCAGTCCACACACAACTTATTGATTGAACTGAGTTCACACTTAAAGAGCAAGTAACCCCCTACAAGAAACTTACTTCACTCCCTCTTCATGTTTGAAAAATGCAACAAATGCAGTTGCCTAGCAGACCGAGAGGGCGGAGCCGCTAACAAATAGACACACACACAGGCTCACAACGGCATTGTGACATCATAAGGACCAGTTTACATCATAGCATACCTCTTAGCCAATAGCGGTGGCAGATTTAAATTCTAATGCAGTGCAGAGTTTTTACCTGACAATGGCACAACACTGACAGTTTTAGGCAGAAATTTACAATTTTAACTAAAATGCACTAAAGTACAAAACTATTAACTACACGTGTCTGCAGCACGATTAGACACACATTTACAGTGGGGCAAAAAAGTATTTAGTCAGCCACCGA